GCTCTACCAAATAGTGAATAACTGTTTGTATAGGAAGAATATTATGGTTTGAGACTTTTAAATATGTCTGTGAATATATTAGGAATCCTTTTAGTATACTTGTATTCGCTGATTTCAAGTGGTAAATAAATTAATAGATGATTAAGTTGAGAAATGGATTTAGACACATGAAAACTAATTCTGTCACAACTTGAATTGGACACACACAGGTCCTTCCAAGCTATGTACAAAAATTAAAATTTGCTTAATTAAAAGCTTAATAGTTGTTAATTAAAAGCGTAATTAAGTAGTGTTCAATATTCATTACGGTAGTGTTCTAATTCAAAGCTGTGTTGTATTCCAATACAGCTCACACAGCAAATGGAATTCGAACACGTGGATGACGGCATTACGTATCAGTAGAATTTGAACTGCGGACGGAATACGCCTCACCATGTGCCGAATATTGCCACACACAGTGTCGGAATATAGGGATTTGGTAGGTTTGCATTCTAAAGGCTTTTATATAAATATGGCAACATTTTGTGACGTTTCATCGTTGCTGGCACGTAGTACGGTGTTTTGCGAGTCACATGAAGCAAACAGAACTTGAGTAACAAATACGGTTATTTTTTATAGTTTTTCATTTCTCCATGCGTCCTTAATGTGTCGGAATATACCGCGTTTACCCTATTAAAAAGCTTTCCACCCAAGCTGAAAAGCTTTCCCATTCCCACAGTGCTCTTCCAGGTGAATGATTAAAGTGACTATAAATGAAAAGGTGGATCAAAAGTGGACTGTGGACAAAATGTTTCAATTTTATACTAGTACATTAAATTTGTAAAATAATTATTTAGAAGCTTGAAAGCATCCCCATCAACCAATCACAGCTTGAAAGCATCCCCATCAACCAATCACAGCTTGAAAGCATCCCTATCAACCAATCACAGCTAGAAAGCAGATAACATTACAATTCCATTATCCAACTACAGCTGGAAAGCTGAAAGGGGCTTAAATCACAATCCTATCAACCAATCACAGCTGGAATTCTGGAAAGGGATAGGATATGTAAATAATGGACTGAAAGTGTAAAGTTCCTGGCCTTTCCAAGCTTTCAGGTCCTGCTTTCCAATATGCTATGTGTACTGGTTAATTTATTATTTCTCTAGAATTCCACACTGTACCCATCGATTCTAACTTAAATTTGTAAAGTTAATGGATTTGTACGTGTTTATTTGCTCTGTGCGGCGGATTTGCTGATGCGTGTTGTGCGATTTGATAGGGCCCTGATTTTGAAATGAAACACGATCGGTTATGCTCAATACACCCAGCTACTATAAATTATCCAAAGTTTGGGTAGAACTGTTTTCATGCTGGTTTTTTACAGTCAGGAGTGCAAATAAGGAATCACTATGTGTACTGGCTCAATAGTCCTGATTCTCCTGAATTCAAGAGAATCGCTATCGCGAACGCAATTAGTAGGTTAATACTCTAAATTCAATTATCTAATCCAGAATTTTGAAATAAATTTGCTTGATATAAGTGTGAAACCTAAATTACGAATTCCCGAATTGTCTCTGCTACGAGTTGCATTATTTGTTGACAAATTCTCTTCTCCATGATTTAGTTAACAACTGCTGGTGCCGCGTGCCAAGCAATTGGTTATTCTGTTGCCCCCGTACCCGGACCGTGGTAGTGGTAGAATAGATGTAGTAGGTTCCGTGGATGCGCATAAATCTCTGGCCACTTCTTCCTGAGAACAAATCAAATGCTCCAGGCCTATGAATCCTTGTGTCCAGAAGACAAGCTTAGTGCTAGGTAAAGGTTACTAACGGGTAGTAGTCTGATCTGGTGCACAATTTAACTCTCATAAGACACAGATATTTTGCCTAATTAATGGCTTTAATTATCACAGATTGGCTTGCCAGACGGCAGGGGCAGACGAGGGAGCCATTTTGAGCCGTGAGTCGTGAGGTGTATGGGGAATGATTCCACTTCCTCAAGAACTGAAGAAGCAGACAAAACAACAACAGTGCCAATTGGTTCAAAGTTGGACTAGACTTGCTAGAGAGACCAGCTAGCAAGTCTTATTTGCATAGTTGAGAAATGAGGTAATGTCAGAGTCAGACTGCTGCTAAGTGCTAACTGCATTGTTATCTTAAGCAAAAGCTTAAAAACATGCTATTAGCTTATTACTTGCTTAATTGCCAGAATGAACTGAAGATAAATTATCAAATTACTATTTCATATTCATGACAAAATTAGAGAATCAATGCATTATGTGCACATGGCTTCATGGCTTGGCTTGGCAAATGTTTTTGCTGCTTAATTGATTTTCTAATTAATTTTCTTCTACAGCTTTCAAAACTAGTCAAGATTCTAACTAGTTGGGATTCTAATAGACACTAAGGCACCATCTAAATGTACGGTGGATGCCGATATTTGCAGCAAATGGATGTTGATGCCAAAATAGAATAATAGATTGACCATGGTCTGCAAGGTGTGGCATGGGCACCGGATGTTTATTTTGAGATGTACACCAGGGAAGACAGTTGCCAATATGCTCACTCTAAAAACAAATGTACAACTCTGACCACTGATTGACATTTGACACTGACGCGCGCACTTATGATCAATTTGGCCAACGCCCGATGACTGACAATGATGCACACTCAACACTCTTGTTCAAATGTGCGATCAATGTGGGCCATCATGCGGGCTGCAGCTAAGCTCAATGATTGACATAGACTCCCTTGCTTTATGATCAATGTAGCTAATGCCCAATGATCAACACTTACGCAAGAACTTAATGATTGATGAAGTCAATGCCTAACAATTGACATATATGTATGCATTTTACAAAAGATGTGGCTGATGTCCAATGATCGTTTCTGACACTCGCGCTTTGTGATCAATGCGGCCGTCGTTATTAGCCGGCCGATGCCTGATGATCAACGCTTATGCATGCACTTTACGACCAATGTAGTTGATGCCTGATGATTGGCACTGATGCATGCATTTTACGATCAATGTGGCCAATGCCCAATGATCAATTCTGTTGCTTGCGCTTTGCAAACGATGTGGCATGATTGAAATGGATGCACGCATTTTACAATCGATGTGGCCAATGCTCAATGATAAATTCTGACACTGCAGCGCGTGCTTCGCAATTGATGCGGCTAATGCCTGATGATCAACACTTACACACCCACTTAATGACCAATGTAGTCAATGCCTGATGATTGACATGGATGCACACATTTTACAATCAATGTGGCCGATGCCCAATGATTGATTCTGACACTTAAGCTTCACGATTGATGTGGCCAATGCTTGATGATGAAGACTTATGCCCACACTTAACGATCAATGTGGCATAACACACAACACATTATAACACATTAACATTATATAATTATGGTGTTACATTATGATGTGTTATAATGTGTTGGGTTAAGTGATAATGTCTTATAATGCATTGTATAATGATATGATGTGTTACAATATGCTTCTGTTATATGTTTTGGTATAATTTGTTGTATTCTATATTATGTTACAATGCATACGTAGTGATATATCACAATTTTTTTGTTATGTTATGATACAAAGATGGTATGTTATGTTGCATTATAATGTGGAGTTATGTTATTACAATATATTATGTAGTGTTACAATATGTTGGGCTATGTTAGGATGTATTATAATGCGCTTGGTTATGATATGTTGTGTTATAATATGTGGTGCTATATGTTATGATGTGTTGTGTTATGATAATTTTTGTTGTAATGTTTTGTGTTATAATGTCATGTTATGTTGCATTAAAATGTGTTGTGTAATAAGTTGCGTTACAAAGTGTTGTAATGTTATGTAGTGTTATGAGTTGTGTTATGGCACATTGATCATAAAGCACATTTATCATCGTGCATCAGTCACATTGAGGGTGAAGCACATGCATTGGGCATTGGCCAAATCGATTGTAAAGCGCGTGCATCAGTATTGGCCATCAGGCATAGGTCACATTGATCGTAAAGTGCACGAGTCAGTGTCAATCACTGGCATAGGCCACATCAATCATAAAACGCGTGCATCCACGTTGATCATCTGGCATTGACTATGTTGGTTGTAAAGTGCGTGCATAAGTGTTGATCATCAGGCATTGATCGCGAAGCGCGAGAATGAAAATCAATCATTGGCATCTGCCACATCAATCATAAAATGCGTTCATCCGTGTCGATCATCAAGCATCAACTACATATACATTGGTCATGAAGTGTGTGCCTAAGTGTTGATCATCTGGCATCGGCCACATTGATCGTAAAATGCGTGAATCCATGTATATCATCAGGCATCAACTACATTGGTTGTTTAGTGGGTGTGTTAGTGTTGATCATCAGGCATTGGCCACATTGATTGCAAAGCGTGAGTGTCAGAATCAATCATTGGGCATCAGCCACATCGATCATAAAATGCATGCATACATGTCTTACTGGACTGGGCTTGTTATTTACCAATATTTTAATTTAGTCAAGTGAATTCATTATAACAAAGAAAGATTGTAAAAAACATACCTGAAACAGATTTTTTTTTGTGACAACCATCATATTTTTTAGAGAAATAAATCATAGTTTAGGCTAATTAATTTTCATTCTATGTTGCCCAATTCACAATTTTATCTGACATTCCTTGCAGCATGCGCAATTTTGTTTTGACCGATGATGCATTAATTTTTTGTTGAGTGAAATTTTTTCACTGAGCAAGGTAAATGTAATTGAAATTCTTTATTGTTGATCAGACTTTGGCAGAAGTAGGTACTTTTTGATCTATCATTACCAACATTTTTTCAGTGATTTATAGAGCTAGTAAATGTATGATTTCTTAACTTCCTTTAGTGCTACATAGATAAGAATAATGTTTTATGCCACTATTTTTAGTTTTGCTGCTATAACATTTTTTGCTGTGGCTGAGGACTGTCTTGATTTACCCTGCCTGTCCCTTATTACCTCATTTGACAGTATTTACTGATTTGTGTCTTTGTTATTTTTTTTAGAGCTTACAGATTTCCTTGAAGCTAAAATAAAATCTATTCTGCATTGCAGTACTGATATTGAGTAGTATTGGGATATTAGTTATAAGCAATGAGTGTTGACTGGGCCAAGGCGTCAGAGGAGCAGGAGGCTGAGGAGCTTGCTTCCAAGGTGAGAACTTTTATGTTATCCATCAACGTTAAAATGTTGCTATTGATATTTCTATCACAATATTAGTTTTAAACTTGTATATCTAGCCAAACAATTTATCCATATTTTTTCAGTTAATGCCATTATTTCTGTCAAAACTATATTTTTCAAATTTAAAGTTATTTCACCTGTTTATTTTTAAAAATAATTTTACTTGCAGCCCTTTGTAACTGTCTCAAAAAAGTAACTGAAAGATGCCTGTCCTTAAACCCTTGTTTTGTTTGGACTAATGGGAAAAAATGAACTATTTTTATCAAACTGTTGCAGTAGATTGCTTTCATAAAATAACTTGTTTCAGTTTTTTGTGAATATTAAGTTGTCATACTCAATGAATAATTCATACTGCTTGATAATTTTCTGAAATCATGAACCAAATAGCAGAGATCATGAAAGAAAATTTTTAAATTGCCTTGTAATTTCTCTCATTTTACTCTGATAGTCATAATTCATTGACATCTAATGTTGAAAACACAAATTATATATTAATTAGCTTATTCTGGGTTTTTGCAGGTGCTGAACTTAGGCCTTTCCAAAGATGCATCTAAACCACCTCCAAGTGTGCCATTCACTTCAGGTAAATCAATCTATTTTATTTAATGCTCATGCAGCCTGGGCAATGAATAAATTATGTGCAGTAGATTTAGTTGAAGTTTGCTAAATTGCATTAGTTCCTTGTTAATACTAGAACCTATATAAATATTGTGACAGACATGGTAATTCTATAAGAAAAATCACAGCTGAGACATAAATTGTTACAAGTCCTCTCAGGCTATGGATCTTTCCTCAAAGGAATAATGTATCTCTGAACTTTTCTCACACACAGCAAATTTTAAATGAAGTTCTTTCTGTTTACTTTTTTCCCAGTTCCACCACCTTCCAGTGCACCTCCTTCATTCTTGTCCAGTCCCCCTCCTCCACTAAATTGTGCTCCTCCATCTGCTGGAAGTCCTCTTCCACCTAAGCTTCCTACAGGAGCTACCTTGCAAAGTTCCGAGGAAGATTCTGCTCCCTCTGCAGCCGAGGTGTCACTCATGCGCAAGGTTCTGTGTAAAGGTATTGTGGAGAGTAAAAATGATGTTGAGGTTCTCAGAAAAGATCCCAACTCTCCTTTATATTCTGTAAAAACCTTTGAGGCACTGCAGCTTCGCCCTGAGTTACTGCAAGGGATCTATGACATGGGCTTCAAACTTCCCTCAAAAATACAAGAAACTACACTTCCCACTCTCCTTGCCAATCCGTAAGTGCCTATTTTAAATGGAGAATTAATGAAATATCAAATATGAAATCAGTTTGGCTGAAAAAAATTGCAAATGATGATTTATATTTTGGCATAGGTATATTTGTATGCTTTCCAATAATGCAGTGAATTTGATTCAATTCTAAAGTTGACATGAAATTTCTAAAAACTTTATTTATCTAGGCTTCAAAACTTGCCTCCTCTACCTTGATATTGACAATTATACATACAACTGGGTAACTTGTATTTTTCCAGTATTACTATTGATTTTACAAGATTAAATGTATTGTTCTGTTCATTTTATTTCAGCCCACAGAATTTGATTGCACAGTCTCAATCCGGTACTGGGAAGACAGCAGCATTCAGCCTGGGTCTGTTGAGCCGCATAGACCCCAGCAAGAGATGCACACAGGCCTTGTGTTTGTCTCCTACTTATGAGCTCGCCCTTCAGACCGCACAGACCGTCATGGCGCTGGGGAAACATTGCACTGACGTCACCATCAAGTGTGCCGTCAAAGGCGAAACTCGTACGTCACTCGAGGCTGTCGCCTGAGGCAATTGTTATTGTTATAATTGTTTATGAAGTCTGTTGGGTTCTTATGTTAATGAGTTTTAACATCCTGTGGTTGATTATTTTCAAGTTTTCATGGTATTGAACATTTGATTTTAAACAGTTTCCGGAATTCCTTGTTGTCTAAAGAGGACCCAGATTTCTGTTGTCTACAAGGTATCTAGATGTCCCGGAGGCACGTTTAGGCACCTCCAGCCTTGTTATATTTCTACCTGAACCCAAGGACAGCGATTTGTTGAATAAGTTAGTGAGGGATAAGTAAGCCACCACTTGTCTACAGAACTTCTTGTTACATGGTGGTAATATTTGAGAGATACGATAAGGTAAAGCTAAGACGTCGACCGTTAGGTCGGAGTAGCTCTAACGTGAGTTACATTACATTACGGCATGATTGTTAGTTACTGGGAGGCCTTACTAAGGTTACAGCAATATTATATAATTATGGCTCCCGCCCACTACTGAGGCTTTGATCGCATGATCTGTCACGTGATGTTGTCCATGCTGACTCAGGTCTAGTACTGTTCTATCAATCTCTACCACGTCTCAATTAATACATCTCAATGAGATAACATAACATAACATTAACTATTAATATTAACATAACATTAACTTATTAATTATTAACATAATTAACTATTAATAATAATTGAGATAACATCTCAATTATTATTAATAGAATGAGATGCCTGATTGACACCGGACACAAGAGTGCTGTTGCCAGCGAGGTTCCAAGAGACCTGTTGTCAACAAGGTTCTTTGTTTACTGTTTTCGTTAATATTTCACTGTCCTGGGGTAATGGGATTCTCTGGGTATGGTTGCACGTTCCTTTAGTTTTTGTGGACCAAATACAATTATATGATTCCGTTTATAATACAGTTAGCTGAAGCTGTCTCACTACCAATTATAGGTTCTCACCAACAATGTAATCTTCAAATGCTCCAAGTAAACGTTTATCAGGAGTATTTATATCCTGTACCACTATTCTCGTATCATGTTGTTTCAGACTGATGATGAAAGTTTACATAATATCTATGACTGACGCTGAATTTGGTCATGATGGGTTTGAATGAGGATGGCATATTTACGTGTTTTAAGGATGATATCTTCTTGATTTGCTTGATGATTAATATTTTACCAATTTGGCTAATGATTAATTTTTTTCCTGGTGCGCTCTCCCAATGATGCAGTTGTCGATGAATTGTTTGATAATTTTTTTCATGTCGTAGTGCCAATGATTGATATACTTCTTGCTGATGATTGACGCGGTGTGTTTTCAGTCACCCGAGGCAGCAAGATCACCGACCACATCGTGATCGGCACTCCAGGCAAGGTGCTCGACTGGCTCACTAAAGCTCGAGCGCTATCGCTGGCTGACTGCTGCGTCTTTGTCTTGGATGAAGCTGACGTCATGATCGCCACGCAGGGCCATCAGGTCTGCTGTGCCCGCTCCATATCGGATAGTTTGGATATTTATTTGTATCTCTCTGGTTGTTGTTCATAGCGTACCAAAAGGGGGCTAGAGGTGTGGGTGGGGGAGAGAAAGACTGCGGAGGGCGAGACTGGGAGTGGAAAAACATATAAAAACAAACAAACAAACGCGAAGCTAAGCTAAGAAAAACGTGTTAATTATGGGAGGGAAGCCAAAAAGGTGTCAGCCCTGGCAGGGCTTTCATATTCACTTGTCATTACCTGTAAGGACTCTGAGCAATCGTGTTTTTTTTAGTCTCTTAATCCAAATATTTATGGTAGGTACCATAGTTACGTATATTGCAATAAAATTGCATTAACAGCTGTGCCACTGAGTGTTTGCATTTCCATCTAGTTTCACTTAGAAGTCTGTCAAACTATTATGAACTCGACAACGTCTTTAATTGCATCCTGTCTTGTAGGCCATGAATTAGTTTTTATTCATTGATAAAATTAATTGTACATATTCAATTAATGTTATCATTATGAGACATACGTAACTCCTAAAGATATGTCACCCATAGTCTGCATAAATATTTCCTAGGGATTATCGCGATGCTATAATGGACTCGGAGGCTGTGAACCATCATTTTATCCATTAAGATCAGCTATGGATATGCCAGGATCTGTCATGGCCCCTCATCTCCAGTCATGACCTCTTGTGAATGATGAAAATCATTCACTATTATTATTAATTTGTTCATTTTATTTTATGTACGGCAGGACCAGTCAGTACGCATCCACAAGCAGCTGCCCAGGACGTGCCAGATGATGCTGTTCAGTGCGACGTATGACGGCACGGTGATGCAGTTCGCTGAGGCCATTGTCCCCAACCCCGTCATCATGAGACTGAAAAGGGAGGAGGAGACGCTCACCAACATCAGGCAGGCATGTCACCATCACGGCGGTCGATTGTGGTCACCATGAAGTCCTATTATTGTGATCTAGTAGTCCTTTGCTGTGTCATTAATGATTGAAATTAAATAATAGGTTTTTTACCAGAGTATCGGCAACTTTTGGCTTAAGTAGGACATTTTTGTGCTGTGGTTTTTACGTACATAAATCGTTTCAAATGCGTGATTTATTACTGTTAGATCCTCAACATCAAGTAAAATTGAATCCCAATCATTGATTTCCCCTTTAATTATATTGTACGTAGCTTAAGACATCATAAATGATTGTTTGATATCACAGATGTACGTGGAGTGTCCCACAGCAGAAGACAAGTACACGGCTATCAGCAACATCTACACCATCCCTGTGGGGCAGTCCATGTTCTTCTGCCGCACCAAGCAGACCGCCAACTGGCTGCACGCGCGCATGGTTAAGGACGGTCATCACGTCGCCCTTCTCACTGGTGGGTGTCATCCGCCATATTGGGTGTCATCCGCCATATTGGGTGTCATCCGCCATATTGGGTGTCATCCGGCATGTTGGGTGTCATCCGGCATGTTGGGTGTCATCCGCCATATTGGGTTTCCTCCGTCATATTGGGCGTCCTTGGCCTTATTCGTACGGGACATCATCAAAACGCTTAAGCACGCTCAGTGGTTTATTATTCACTTTGCCGCCCAAGTGCACGGGACGGCCTAGGCTAAGTAGTCGTAGCCGCCTATTTCTCATCTGTCATTGGTGAATTCAGCTTTAAAAGCAGTCTATGATTGGCCTACTGAGTTATAAATGCCGTTAATACAAGTTACGAACTACTTTGTGTCATGCAGGAGAGTTGTCAGCAGAGGAGCGCCTGTCAGTGCTGACGAGCTACAGGGAGGGGCGCGAGCGAGTCCTTATATGCACCAACGTCCTGGCCAGAGGCATCGACGTCGAGCAGGTCTGGGCTACTTTCATAATTTGTGATGCGTCAGAATTTATGCTCCACCTAAAATTTATGTTAATAGTCGGCTAAACTAAAATATTCTTCCCTGGCAAAAATTATGATAAGCTAGCTATTTCTTGTACTGTTACAAGTATGTGAATCGAAGTCTTAAGAAGGAGCTCATGTTAGAGGAATTCATGCTGTTGTGAAACTAGCGAAACCTATAAATTATATGTATTTTTTATCAGCACCTTTTCTGAGTGTGGGAAAGTTATATTGTATGTGACATTGAGCAAAACATTTTGATTATACAGACACTGAGTACTCGACCATTTCTGAATGATCAAAATGTCTGTATAATCAAAATGGGGTTTCACATTTTTTAAAATTATTATATATTTTAAAAGAATTGTCGTGTATAACGCAACGCATTTTTTCTTCTCATATGAGTCAAATTGTCTGTCTGGGTGAGTTTTTGAACGTTCCATAAACATCATTAATGTGATAATATTCAGTAAATTTAGTGTGAAGCTTGAATTGATAGGTGATACCATGGCATCATGGTACCATCTATCACCTATATGCCCTTCGACGTCACGCAGGGATCGTTGGTTGTAGGTAGTATTAGCCTTAATTTTGTAGTCGGATGCGAAATATGTATGCGGGTTTAACCGTTAGCAACTTCAACCAATTCCAATTTTAGCTGGTCACAATCTCAGTAAATTTTAATATCAACCTTTTAAACAGGTTACTCGTGTGGTTTATTAAAATTCCAATCTAGTATTCGGATTACAATACCAATAATCTACATACACTTAAAATTCAATGCCTTAAGCATGTTGAACTGGACAGCGGCAATAAATTCAATGCTGTTTATTCATATTATTTGCAGTGATCATGTCAATTTGTTGCACGCAGGTAACATTGGTGGTAAACTACGACCTGCCTGAGCTGAACGGGGCGGCAGACTGCGAGACATACCTGCACAGGATCGGCCGCACGGGCCGCTTTGGCAAGACCGGAAACGCCATCAACATCATCGACGGGCCGCGCTCCATGGAGCTGCTGCAGCAGATACAAAAACACTTCAGTCAGTCTCTCCCGAATTGCCTGCTTTTATTTATTTAATTTTTTTATTTTATCCGCCCATAAATGATATTCTTGTATTTACTGTAATTAGTTCTACTGCACAATTGGTCATCTTGATCAAGTTTTTAATGAAAATTTTCCCGTTTTTGATCGTTTGTTACTGAACGCAATACGAGCACTCAGCGTTAGATTAAAACGCATACTATCTATGGGTCTTAGTATAACGGTCGAAGCTACAATCTCGCCAACATTTTACTATTTTGCTTACCTTGGTACTCCATTGGTCTCAAATCCCTGACATCGGAAAAGAATAACTCCATTATAGATTCAGTGCAACTGCTGCATTTCCTAATGAATACTAATTTTACGTCTAAGAGTAAATTTTTTTGTTTATATTTCTTATCAATTCTAACTACTTTAGCTCGCGTGCCATCATCCAGTTTCTCTCATTATATTCTCTTTCCGTAGATATCGAAATAAAGAAGTTGGACTACAAAAACTTTGATGAAATCGACAAACTTGCAGAAGATTGATGAGTCCTCAACAGCCAACATCCGCGGTTCTGACGTCATTCCTGAAGGCGGGTGTTCACTACCGCGGTGGATGAATTACTATGGACGTAAATTATAACAACTGGATTCCTGAGCCAGTTCAATACTTTATTACGTACAATGTCTGATAAAATCAAATTAATTAATTACTGTACAAAATAAACGGGCACGTTGAATCACAATCGCTCGAAGTTGCTTGTAAATCAAGCACTGTGTTGGAAAGAAGTCTGAAAATGGTGGCACAGATGTGACCATTACTGATCAACCGTTTGAGTTTAATATTCATTGTATTATTTGACATAACCATTATATATCATGTGGTTGACTTATTTATAAAAATGCCTGGAAATACGTCGTGTTCTATTTGTTGCGCTTTAGAACAAAGTAAATGAAACTACAGTAAATTTTTTAGTCATTAAGAGTCTTCTTTGGCTGTGTTAGTGATGAACGAAGGCATTATAATTAAGAATCTTTGTTTTTTGACAGCCCTCTTTACGTTAGAAATTAAAGTCCTAATTTTTTGTGGGTACAATATTCGTCCGAGTGCGATGAATACCGTTGGTAGTTGAGCATAGTTGGGGCCATACTGTCCCAGCCTCCTCGCGTTGTTGTGGCGCCCTTTTTTTCTACTGTAAACCAAAAGTTAGTAGGAATTCTTTACTTAGCAGCATTTGCACGAAGTTTCACTTCCAGTTGTTAAAAATGCTGCTGGTATCAGCGAAAGCGTATCCTGCATTCACCAAATACTATGTAGCAACCTTTAAAACGATTTGCATGACCGCCATCATGTGCATCACTACCATTTTAGCCGTCCACGATATGTGAATGCTTTTCTAACGTGTTCTAAATTTTCCAAGATTGTTGTGGTTCACTGGAGATAACTTGAGAATTTATAAAGAATCTGGAGGTGCAGAAAGCGATTTCTGTACATTGTTGACTCCGAAAGCGCGATAATTTTATATGTGATTCATTGAGACAGGACATGGATGATTGTTCCAATACTATTAAGTTATAAATAGTAATTTTTTACAAATGAAAATTTGTTTAATTCCACATTCAGCATCCCAATAGTCCACCGAGTATCACCTTTGTAATCGGGACCCAAAAACTAAGAATAAATGAACAAGAGCATCAAAATATTAATTAGTTATAAGATATCGATTCAGATTTGAGTATCAATTCAGTAATCGACGCATGGGTAATTTTTTTTAAAATAACTTTCGGTTTACTCGCCCACAACCAAAAGGTGGTCACAGATAATATCAAGTGATTTTAATTTTGTGCTTTTTGATTGAATGGACAGTAATAAAAAAACTACGTTGTTGAGTTAATTTTATTTGATGTTTGATAATAACCTGTCAGAGAAATGGCGCGGCAGCAACAGCGTCCAACGCTGCTGTTGCAGAACAGGTCGTACATTGACTTACCGGTCGGCTTCTGCCGCCACTTTCTTTGTGCGAACATCACTTGAGTGTAATTAATCAATACGAAGTGCTGCTGATACATGCTCTGAATAATTGGCCTGGATATTAATTAGGACGCAATCAAATTCGTATCGAAGGCAACGAAGGCACTAAAGCTTTGCTCACGGACAAAGCTGTCAACCAAAATTCGGTGCTTTTGGTGTAACACGGGAATGTGACGGATTTGACGGCTCCTTAAATATTCCGAATTGTTCTTTTATCGCCCGTCGTCGGTGCCATTAAAATAATTAGCTTTACTTAACCAAAAAATGCCCGATAAACTTTACTTGTACTGGACCATAAGCACAGATGATGGCACGAGACCTGGAAAACAAGGTGGATTGAATCAGCCACATTCATTAGCACAGGTTCAACTGGATTTTCATCCTCAATATTTCATGTATTTCAAGCATGAAATGGCACAGCTTCTCCGCTAGTTCGTAATTTAAAAATGTATTTGGCCTCATGGTTCGATTTCAACGTAAGGTATATTTAATTAGTGGCGCTTTGCTATTATACAAGGCTTTTAGCCCCCTTTTAAATTTGTTTACCCGTCATGGAATACGGTACTTGATTGCTCATCGACCAAAGTCATACACAACACAAGCAAACGTCAATATTAACATTGCAGATGTGCCGCTCTCGCATCTGCTCACTTATCGATGAAGTCTAAAGTCATGTATCCTAAAGTACAATACGAATAAAATACTTAAAAAAACTTTTTAAAAAAACACGTTTTTCTTGTGGACTAAAAAGTAGAAAATAAATTATGGTTCGCCCCAAAAAAACGTGTGTCGGGCAGATTTTTAAATTTTGGAAATTTGATGGTGAACGTACATGCAGCCCGACCCACGTTTTTTTGGGGCGAACCATAATTTATTTTCTACTTTTTAGTCCACAAGAAAAACGTGTTTTTTTAAAAAGTTTTTTTAAGTATTTTATTTTCTACTTTTTAGTCCACAAGAAAATCGATTAAGACTTGATTAAGTATGACTTGACGCACGTATCGATGATACGCAGCGTCAGCGCCTGCTCGTCTATAACGTGAACGCCCTCACGTCATACTATGTATATAATATATATATATACTTTACTCAATTAAACCAATTTAGGTCTCTAATTGCTAGTTTTTATGATTGTATCTGAAATTGTTAGGCGAAAATAGCCTGCATGCCGAATTTCAGATCTCTAGAACAATCAGAAGTATAATTGCTAGTTTTTATGATTGTATCTGAAATTGTTAGGCGAAAATAGCCTGCATGCCGAATTTCAGAGCTCTGGAGCAATCAGAAGTGGGTTAATTTTCGTTGTCAATGTTAACAACAAACAAACAAACAAACAAACAAACAAACAAACAAACAAACAAACAAACAAACAAACAAACAAACAAACAAACAAACAAACAAACAAACAAACAAACGCGAAGCTAAGCTAAGAAAAACGTGTTAAAAACGTGTTAAAAATAGAACTCTATCACGCTGATTCTGATCAACGTAAGAGTATTGACAACATTACAGACCTAATGACTCTAGTGGTTGAACCATCTGGTCTTCAGAGAAGACCTGCCGGGGGAAGGTGGTGGAGAGGGACACAGTGAGGCTGGGGTCAGGACACGGATGGTTGATGGTCACCCACAGCTTGACGGCGGACAGCGGCTCCTTAGCCTTGAATGTCTGCACCACCGGCGGCCCCGACGGTAGGCGGAACTGCGGGAGGAGGTTTTCGTGTAAAGCCGTGGCTTCTTAACATGGGGTAAATTTTCCTTAGGGTAATTTAGGGAGTAGGAAACAGGTTCAAAGAAATATACAATAAACATTCCAGTGTGACAAGTAATTTTTGACGATAGGATAAAGGAAAATAATGAAATATAGAGAGCTAACTTGTATTCTGGTTTCATCGTAGGATTTCTTGGGGGCAGCAGGGGGAGCTGCGGCAGGCGGGGGCGCTGCTGCAGCAACCACAGGAGCTGCTCCTGTCGCAGCTGCCAGAACAAACCATCAGTTACATTGTGGGAGTTACATATTATCGAGAAAACAAAGGGACATTTAGGAAACTAAGGAAAAAGTGTGAACGTATGGATTTTTATGGTACATATTAATTAAAAATTCAAATCTCAACTAAGGAAATTTATATCCATTTTTCTTAATAACCTTCAAAACCCAGATTTTTATAACTTTCTTCATCATTACAGCAGATTTTAGGAAAAAGCTTGGTAAAATACCGAAAAGAGCAACCTGTTTTTCACTCGTCGACCAGTCGCTTTGCAGCTTCAAGCCCATTATGTTAAGTTTTTTCTAAGAAATAAATACGTATTTTGTGTGAACCAAAGTCACATAAAATCGGTCACTTAATTTCATATAATTTTATACCACAATAAAAAAGTGTTGTAAGTTTGTCAAATTTGCAAATTTCGTTCGTTTTGCAAGCCGCACGGTGATTCGGATGTCCAAGCCCATGTATTATTGCGGCTCGACTCTCCACCAGCACTACTTCCACTACACCGACGGACTGAGTTCTATCATCCTTTCCATCTCACACTTATAAATTTATCCTTAATCAATAAATAAATTTATGAATTCATCTGCACCAGTGCACCATCAAGAATTTAAAAAAATCCTAAGCAGGTTCACCATATCTTCAATGACAATCCTTAAATTCTCTCAATCCTTGAGTTAGGATAAAAATGAGCAGACCTGCCAGCTTCTGCCGTCGCGCCTCCTTGTCGGCCTCAATCTGTTCCTTGACGCGCTGGCGAGCCAGTTTGTCCTCCAGCTTCTCGCGCCGCTTCTCCTCCGCCAGCTTGCGGATCTCGTCCTCCTCCAACCTGCAAGCATAAACACGTCCTCAGCCGGTGCATTACCTACCAACTTCATCACTCGTAAATGCGTCACCTCGTTACTGCAACAACTCGTTCGTTCATCACTTCGTTACATCGTTACGGCATCACCTCGTTACTGTACCACCTTGTTCATCACTTCGTTACTGCATCACCTCGGCACCTCAAAATTTCATCACTATGACAACGTTTCCCCGTAACAATAAAGTTGTCAACATTGATATTATACAATGAGATATTTTCTGTCATCTACGACAACGAAAAACAATACAACAAAATTACCCAAAGAAAGGCATTAACGATGTGCTAACGACTGGTCCATTGTAACTGCTGGGCGCAATTCATTTTTTTAAGTTAATGAAAAATATTGTAAAGCTGTTTGGTATTCGAATGAGAATATTGCTCACTAAGAAAATGTGTACACAATGAAGAGGACATGAATGTGAGTATTACCCACTTTCTTCTGTGCTCGGCCACATTTTTGCCCATTTCTATCCTCTTCTTCTCACGTTCTCGCTCTTCTCTTGCTTCCTCTTCAGCCTTTGCTTTTCTCCGAGCTTTCATCTTCTCCTCCAACTCTAGCAACTGCACAAGCCATTGATAGATGAGATCATTGCAGTTACAAAGTGAGGATAAGTAGAATACCTTCAAGAAGCATCTTCTGACTGAAATTTCAGCAGAAAAGATACTGGGAGATCAACATGAGAATATTTCCTAAAATAAAAATAGATTAAATCAATATATTTATGAAAAATCGAAAGCATCAATGACAAAATAAGGAACTTAGATGGTTGAATGTGGAACTGAGTGGCCTTACTCACTCCGAAGTAAGTATTAACTAGTTTCAACAATGCAACCATGATAGTAAAACATCATCCATCAAATCAACACTTAGCATACGGACATGAAAAACTTCATTCCAACTTCTTGGAAAAGTTTTATCTGTTCCCCAAAAAATAACAGATAACAAACCTTCTGCTTTTTTTGTTCTTCAGTTAGAGGAGCTTTTTCTTCCGTGCTCTCCGAGAAGCTAGAGTGACCAGACTTGACTGCGTGAAACTCGACTTCTTCGGGGGTTTTAAACAGCTTCCCACAACTGAAATAAAATTAGTAGTTGAGGCTGTTATCTTACCAAATATTTCCTAAAAAATTACAAAATGCATAACCTTAATAAAATGAGATGAGGCTCTCAATGATGCTAAACTCAACTTCGAACTGGTACTAGATGAAATTTAATCATTAATGCATAATTAGCTTACAGCTTTTATTAAATAGTTCAACAATAAATTTGATCTTCTGTTATGATATTTTCACTTTAGCTATTTTCATATAAAAAAGAAACCAGCTGGAATAGAAACAATACAAACTTGCATTACCAGGCAAAATGGCCTTCCCATAATACAGCCAATAATCAATATTATAAAGGACAACAATAATGTCCCATTTGAATGTTTAAATAGTTTTTTCTCTAATAGAATGTCTGTTCTATTAGTATAAAATTGATTATGATCTCTAGTTTGATAAGGTTTAAATACCTACCAAAGTAGCAAAAAGAAGAAATTGAAGAGAATCCAATATGAATAGAATAAGTGTAAAAAATAAAAAAATTATACTACTTCACAAATTAATTACACTTGAGCTTGCAGAATGATGCTCAATAAACTTTCAGTTCTCTTTTTTTCCAGATTCTGGTTTTATAGATTGAAGCTATGCTTGAAAATAATAACTAGATTTTTTACATGCATTAAGTCTATCTGAAGCCTCCAACAAAATAATAAGCTTGCCAGTATAACAAAATATTCAATGAGCCTGCCAGTATAACAAAATATTCAATAAGCTTGCCTGTATAACAAAATATTCAATAAGCTTGCCTGTATAACAAAATATTCAATAAGCTTGCCTGTATGAGAACTTACTCATCACATCTGATGGATTTGGCCTCAGCTGCAGCTGCTGCGTCCTCTTCAGACGTTTTCTTGTCCTCACCTGCAACACAATTATTTAAATTTATATGTGCATTTATGTACATAAAGTTAATAGGTACACTGACAGATCATTCAAGTTTAAACTGTCAGTAAATTCATTGATTATTTAGTAAGCCTTTTTAACAGATGCCATTCTATTTTATATTTGAATACATGGGCAGTAGACAATAGGGTTAACATGATTGGAGTCATCAAAAACATTAAAGGAATGTTTCCTCTCATGTGGACATTTCCTTCATAATTTTACGTAAGAAAAACAGCCATAGTAATTGATACCTTATCAACAGAGCTGGGCAGCGCTACTTGGAAATGTAGCGGCGCTACCGCTACCGCTACATGCTCTAAATGTAGCGGGCGCTACCGCTACCGCTACATGCTCTAAATGTAGCGGGCGCTACCGCTACCGCTACATGCTCTAAATGTAGCGGGCGCTACCGCTACCGCTACATGCTCTAAATGTAGCGGGCGCTACCGCTAC